ATCGTTTACAGGAAGCGGCGGATCTGGTTTGGATGTGTTTGATTGGCGTCTAGCAAAGTAATATCTGAGATTACGTTAAGAATTATCGGTGATCATTCAGAAACTCATTATTGTAATAACCTATAGGGATTGTCAACCGAGATTCCATTGGGAGAGTGGACATGCTAAGCGGATGAAGTTTTTCCCACAAAAAGCTGAATACCTCGATACTTCAACAAAGTTTTCATACATTCATTTCCGCAACAGTGCTGCTGAAAGAGATCGACACTTGGTTTCAACCTTCACCGCATTCAAATTCGCAATTAGCCAATCTACTATCCTGATATCATACGATATCAAGTCACCTTTAATATAAGGCTACGATATCGTGCTCAGTTGCCAGAATTTAGGTACGGTAAATACGTAATCCTACCTTTTTGACACGCTTCGGCAGCATATCAGGCTCTTTTGGCTCGACTATCAGCTCGCCAAAATACGAACCATGGCTCCACCAAACTTGCATGATACACTCTTCTTTTTCGCAAATTTCAGCGTCAATATTCGTATCATGGCTGTGTCTCACAAGGACTGAGCACTACCAAATTCACGAATTTGATTGGCTGAAATCGATATTGACCGCGGTCTAGATTTTCCCATCTAGACTAGCATCTAGACCAGTAATGTTTTGCAGTGGAAAAGTTGCAAACTAAAATGCAAAACTATTGACTATTTTCTTCTGACAATATTTATTTATGGCAGTGCCAAAAAGCCTGATAAGAAAAGAAAAGAAAAATAAAGAGGACGGGCAGACTTCGGCAGAATTAAGTTCAGCTCATCGCCGTTCGCAAGCAAAATGTCGGCTAGTACAAACCAGTTACATTAAACGAATTAAATTTCTCTTGCTTGCCATATAACAAACATCTTATTAACCGAGCTTAGTCGGTTGGTATGGGAAAATCTTGACCTTGGTCGTGTGCACAGACCTCACTGCGTTCGGTTTGTACTCACAATCTCGGCCACGATTCTCCCTTTCAGACCTCTTGCTCGGTTAATAAGGGTTAAAAATCATATTCTTATAAAAAAGAAAGAGTATTTGCCGCCGAAGCGTACCGAAAAAGGTGCGGTTAGATATAATAACTATACTGGAGCTTCGCTGAGATAAGGATACATGGACGTTTCAATTCCTTTGGAGACAAGGAGTTTCCGCACCAGTCTCTCCGTGCCGTACCAGTTAAAACTCGGTGTGTTGTAGCCAATTCGTGGAAGGTGAACAGTGGCTAAGGAAGCGAGAAAAAAACGCGTTTGATTAAAAATGGGAAAATGAAAGATAAACTTAGTTTTCCAAATCACCAGACGCATCTCTCAAGGGTTGCGTGACAAACAGATGAAAAATCGCAGACTAGTAATCTAAAGCAATTGATCAAACGTTCGAGAAAACGCTACGCCCGAGAGGGGGCGGAAGAGGCGGTCGAATTACGTTACATGTACTTCCTATATTTCTTGTTTCATAATGCTCTTTTTTATCATAGTAAAAATAAGGACTTCCGAAAGAAGAGATAACATTTCGTTTTCATGGTTGTTATCAAACCCGGAACGTAGCGAACCTCTGAAGGTAACGATGCTCCGGAAGTCGTGCCCTCAAACGTAATTTTACTTTTTACGAGGACAATACAAATGATAAACACAACTAGTTGAACAGAAATGATCCGATATTTGCTACAAATTACATTT